ATTTTACTACGGCTATCTCAACCGTTTACAACCGAAGATTTTAAGGCTATCTTCAACCTTACAATGAGGATTTAGAGGCTATCCACACCTTTTTACAAATCAATAAAAAGATTGGTGTTGCTTCTCTACCAAAATGATAACAAATGTAAGTTGGGTAGGAGAAGAACAAAAGATTAAATCAACAACAACAAAAGCCTATAGGCAAGATATAAAATAATGAAGCACAAATGCCCTTGTGTGTGAGTGTATAAAAAGATGAAAGCTTTTTACTCAAAAGTGTAAGAAAAATAAGAACAAGGCTTTAAGAACACTCAAGAATAGAGAAAGAGGCTTTAGAATTAATTGGGAAGTTGTTCTTTTTAAAATGAGGCTTAAAGGGGGTTTATATAGGAGTTTGGAATGTTAAAATTTGAGTTTTTGACGTTAAATGCCGTTAGGAAGTGATTAGGGGTAATTTGAATTTAAACGGATCCGGTACCCTTCACGGTAGGGTCAGTGCCGTCCGGTACCTAGGTACCGTGACCCAGGTATAGCCTACCGTTTGGGGGTACCGTGTATGCCTAAAGTTTGGTTCGCCTCTGGCGGTACCTGGTTAGGATGGGGGTAACCATCCGTCTCAGCCTTCCGTCCGGTACCAAGGTACCGTTACATGGTAGGGGGTACCATGTACCTCTTCAGTGAAACGTGCTACGGTACGTTCACATGGCTACCGGCGGTATCCTGGTGCCGTGTACACGGTAGCATGGTACCGTTAGGCCAGTGTAAATTTTCCAAAACTCGTTTTTCGTGTTCCGTTTTCAAAATGACCCCATCTTAGAATATATTTGACATTTAAAATTATTTTTTGAGTGAAAGGGCATAAGTATATCATTAAAATATATATTATTACCTTTACACAATAATTTCTAAACTCGTAGGAGTATATCTCGGTGATGCTAAACAAGCTAATAGAGGTTTGGCGTTTGGTTTCTTCGTGCAAATGATGTTAGTAGCATTTGAAAGACTTATTTGGCACATCAAAACGGTTACGGGGTATGGCATTCAAGGCCAACAAAGTGCTTCTTGCATTTCTTCAAAAGTGTAAGAGTCGGAAGAAATGGTACATACCTCTTGTACATCGTCGGTTTGGTCTTCGTGTGCCATGAGACAGAGGTTGGCAACTTCATCCTCATCTTGGTCTGTTGACTCGTCGCCGGAGTCTCCACCCCAAGAGATATACGCCCTTTGCCTTTTGGAGTGTCGAGTGTTCCTTCCGTTTCTCGGGCATTTGTTCTTGATGTGCCCGGCTTCACCACATCCATAGCACACAGGGCCCTCCTCAACCTTTTCTTTCTTTCTTTGAAGTTTGCAAAACCTCTTCATGACAAGCTTGACTTCATCATCGTCGCTTGAGTCATTCATTGTTGGTTCTTTGAAGGCTTTTAATGCTATGCCTTTCCTTTGGTCATTCAAAGACGGGTTAAGTATAGTAGATTCATAAGTTTTTAAGTTACCTCTTAAACCGTCGATGGTGACATTTGATGTGCCGATTGACTCATAGATGGCATCGGCCTTAGATCGCCATTCGGATGTCAAGCTCCGTAGGATTTTCGTACAAGATCCCTGTCGGTGTAAGTCCTCTTCAATGCATGAAGATCGTTGACTATCTTGGAAAATCGGTCGAACATTTCGTCAATCTTCTCGTGCTCCTTCATCCTGAACATCTCATATTCTTGGGTTAGGAAGTCAATCTTGGCTTCACGTACTTGGTCCGTTCCTTCGTACGTCACCTCAAGTTTATCCCACATCTCCTTGGCGGTTGAGCAGCAGGAGATCTTGCGGTAGTCGTCAGGATTTACGGCACAATAAAGCATGTTTACTGCCTTTGCGTAATTCTCGACCTTTTTGATGTCCTCGGCATCAAACTCGTCTTCGGTCTTGGGGATCAACTTGTCTCCGACTTTCTTCATCGGCACCTCTTCCCCGTTTTTGATAACCAACCATAATCGGAAGTTCGTGGAACGAATATAGATTCTCATTCGTTCTTTCCAATATGTATAATTGGTTCCATCAAAAAGAGGTGGCCGTGTAGTTGATTGACCTTCTCCCTGCATAAAGATTTCTAGAAGAAGAACCCATGATCGCTTTACTCTCAAACGGTTAAGTTTGGACGCTAGTTAGGCTCCGATACCAATTGTTAGAATAAGTGCCCTTCACTAGAAGGGGGGTGAATAGTGAGGCACGAGAATGTTTATAAATTTTCGCGGAATAAAAATCACAGGGATAAACTAAAGAGCGGAATAAAAAGGAGTAAAGGGAGCACACCAAGATTTACCCTGGTTCACCACAACTTGTGGCTAATCCAGCCTCCCGAGAGACTCTCTCGAGCTACACTACTTCCGTTAAGCTTACGGGTGCTTAACAAACCGTTACAACCTGAGAACTCGAGTCCCACGAGCCTCAATACACTTGCTCGGAGATACCGCACTCCAAGACTTCAACCCGAAGGAAAATACCTTTCC